AGGCACATGATTTGCAGCATAACTTAAGTCGAGAAGTGCTATCTGCCAACCAAAGACCTTCGAGTTCGATTACATTCAACTCAGAGGTAAATCAAATTACAACATAGCTCAAGGTGATAAGGGCTATCTGTCAACAAAAACTAACGAGTTCGATTTCATTCAGCTCACGACAGCGAGGAACTATTTTCTGGAAGAATTTTCATGTCAAAATATTTAAACTGAGAAAAAGACAAAGACCCAATTTCAGGAAACTCAATCACATTTGAGAGGACCAGACAAAAACTGATTGTGCTTTTTTTTCTTTGCCCTATTCTTGTTAACACAAAAATGTGCAAAGAAAGACAGCTGTAGACCCCAATTTTTATTCAGGCCCAGCATCCAACACCCATTAAAGCCTAAGTAAAAAAAAAACAAATCAACCCACTACCCCATTCCCACGTTTCTCACAAACACCACTCAACAACCACCACTACCCCACTAACTAACAAACAAAATCCCATTTTCTTTTTTTCTTTTTAAGGGGGCCACCAGAAATGGGAAAGGGGGAGAGATGGAGAATAAGGATGTTACTTTAATTGCCATACCCACTTCCTAAAAGCTCTCGTTTTCGGTTTCATTAGAAGGCTGATCAGTTTGCAGCACTGTTACTGGTGGTTGATCAGGCCACTGTGCCTCTTGAGAACTATGTGGCTCGCCACCTTCGCCGGACACTAAAAAATAACAGAGGTTCCACACATCGTGCTACCAAACCCGACAAATGCAGAGAGAAGAATGGAGAGGACAACCTACAATGTCAACAAGGTACTGGTCGGAAACAAAGCTAATATGGATTAGAGCAAAAGGGCTGTGCCGAACTCCAAGGGTCAATCTCTTGCTGATGAGTATGGTATCAAGTTCTTTGAAACTGTAAGTTGCATGTTTGTTGCTGATTGGATCTTTTCTTTTATAATGCTATTGACCATTTCTTTGGATACTATCGGAACAATATAATTCCACAGAGTGCAAAGAAAATTTTGAATGTGGAGGCAGGAAACTGAAATCAGATCTTGGATACGGTTTAATGGGAATTAGCCTATTGTTTAGAATGAATAATTTAAAATTATTCCTTGACCGACAAATTAATTGATACCGAAAGGGTGGTTCAAGGGTGTTAATCATTCCTTGACCGTAACCGACTCCCGAACCCGACACGTTTCTGGTAAAACGCAGATCAGGTAAGATGGTGTCTGATCCACCTAAATTCGTTTTAAAATGATCGGTAACGACTCTAATATTTTTATTTTAAGTTGAAGCCCAATTTCGGACCCTCTCGAAAGACTATCGCGACACAGACTACGACAAATATTGTGTTATGTTTGGGATAGATAAAGGTGATTACAATATTATTCAATTATTATAAATTAAATATGTTAAAAAATATTATCAAACTTCTTAACCCTAATAGAACCATATAGAAATCAAATTACAATATCAATCACACGTCTTTGATGAACCCATTTCTTAACTTTAACATAGAACTTTCTATTCTTCAAAACTAAAAAAAAACATAACACTTTCTACAAAATGATAAAAGTCACTCAAAGTTTCATTTTTTTCATGGAATATCAAGCTTTTCAACATGGTTATTATATTATTTAAAAAAAACATGGTTATTATATTAAAGCGTCAAATTATAACTAGTTTTATCATATCTAAAAGACTTGTAAATTCAATTCAAAGATTCAATTATATGCACGATCGCAAAAAGGGTTCAGAAGCAACAACAATCAATATAAACTTATTAAAAGATAACCAAGTTCCCACAAAATATGATAAGAAAGTCATTGTATTTAATACAAATATGAGTATTTAAAAGTTAATTAATCTAGTACGAACCAAGTGACCTTAGTGGTAAAAGAATTGTTATTGTTCCTTAAGGTCTTGGGTTCGAGCACTAAGAATGTCAAGAGTGTGAACGTTCAATGTCAAGAGTGTGAGCGTTCAATGTCAAATGGTTGATAGTTATCTTTGAACAGATACTACCTTGTACTTACCTCATATTAATAAAGACAAAAAGTTAACCAATCTGACCAATACTCGATCTTTTAAAGGTATATGTAGAACTAAGTTATATGAATGCATTTTATATAAATATCTCATGATTTTTAATGCGATTAAGAATACTAAAATTAGATAGTACTACTACTACGAGCAACTGAAAATATAAATATAAATTAAAATTTAATTATTAAAATCAAATTTTATGTATCACATTATATATTATATCAAAATTAATATATAACTTTAACTTTTTTATATCATTGATTCTTTTAGAGGTTGACACAAAATTAATATATATTATATTATTGATTCTTCGAGTTTGACCACTAAAATTTTAATTAATCTAGAATGATTGGTAATATTTGTTCTAGTGATTCTCAATTATTTAACAATGAATGCTTAAACTCTGTAATCGTTAGTGCTTGAATTCAGGACCTCTAAGATAACAATAATTTTTTTAACTACTGAAGTAATTTAATCCGTGCACACCTCTAAAATTAATTTAAAGATTATTTTATTAATATAAAGTATTAAGAAATATATCATATAGAGTGAAAATAAAAATTTAAATACAAAATTATAAAAAAAATCAAGTAAGATAGTTTAAATAATCATAAAATTATAGGACGATTCTTCTACGTTTGATGAGTATAATAAGCACCACTAACGATGAGCACCATTAATTTAATTTATAAAAAAATTAAAATTCTAAAAGGCTCAACGTATAATTATAAATTAGTTAAAAATTAAAGGTAAATTATTTAAAATAAAGGGTAAACTATATCAATGACCACCTAACTATTGCCCTTTTCATTTTGGCTACCATTTTTGAAATTTTATCAATCAGGTCACTCAACTATTTAAATGCATTGAATTAAGTCACTTGCCGTTAATATTTAATGGAGAAGCTCATGTGACAGTTAAAATATTGGTATAATTATACATTTGGTCAATGTTACTTATATATTCTATCAATTTGGTCCTAATTTTAATAAATTAAAATAAAAAAGAATTGATTTTATTCTATCATATAATAATGATATACACATGGAGTATTATTTAGCCATTAACCCTGTCGTTGTCGTTATCAATCCAAGCACTATATCTTTCAACATATAAATATTGATTCAACAATAGCTTTTATATTTACTTTAATGTAATATGTTCATTCTGTACTTTATAAAATTATTAGAAATTCTATCATCACAAAACAATGAATTATGATAATAATAAAGAAATGAAGTATATAATAATAAAAAAGTTATCATTATAAATCATTTAATTTTCTGGATTCTGGGATGCAGTTAAATGGTTGAGAGTTATATTAGAACGTATATCATCTTATACTTACTCCAAATTAATATGAATTTTAAAAGTTTTTTATTATCACTGGTAGAGAAAGTTTCTCAACTAAAAAAAGATTAATTATGTATTTAATCACTTAACTATCAGTTTGGTTTTGTTAGGTTTTTTAATTATTTGCTTTTCAAAATCTTCATTGATGTTAGGTTTTGATTTCATTTTGATCATCTACTGTTAAAAATTAACATAACTATTGACTTGACATTTTTTATTTTTTTCAATTATGATGTGGCATTACCTTACGATGACATGTTAACATCACTGTTAATTTTTTAACGATTGTTGATCAAAATGAAAACAAAAACATAACGTCAGTGATGATTTTGAAAAAAAAAACAAATAGTTTAGTGACTAAAACGAAACCACGCGAATAATTTGGTGACTAAATATCTAATGTATCCTATATTTTATTCAACTTGAATTTTTACTGCAATTCTTTTTGTAAATTCTACCCTAAAATCAATTCTTTAATTTTTTTATACTTTAGTCAACACTTTATTCTCAAAATACTTTTATAAAAAATTAAAATTATAAATATATCTAATAATTTTATATAATATTTAATTTTAATAAATTAAAATTAACACCAAATTGATAGAATATATAAGTAACAATAATCAAATATGTAATTATATCAAATATTTTAACTGTCACAATTAGTTTCAAAAAAGATGAGTGGCTTAATTGAATGCATTTGAATAGAAGAGTAACATGATTGATAAAATTTCAAAAAAAGTGGCCAAAATGAAAAAGGGGCAATAGTTAAGTGGTCACTGGTATAATTTACCCTCTATTTTAAACCATTTATCTTTATTTTTTTTAACTAATTTATAATTATACAACCATTAGAATTTTAAATTTTTATAAATTAAATTAATGGGCTCATCATTAGCCGTGCTCATCGAACATCGTAGAATTTTCCAAAATTATATTGTATTAAAAGGTTTAAATGCTCGTTCTCTAAATTTAAAACTTCTTCCTAATTGATACTTTTAATTCTTTTTGTTCTGCTCATTATTATTAAATTATAATACCTTTAGCATTTTACTTCAAACCAATAAATATATGATATTTGATCATGAACAAACACTTCAAATACAGTCAATGAAACACATCGCTCAAAGTCCACAAATCTGCCATATTGTATGCAGAGCAACCATTTCGCTGTTTCAATGGATTCCATGAAAACAGGCACCAGTTTCCACAAGCAACTCTCCATAAGGTTACTCGAGCTATTACTTCTTATCCTCCCCGCAAACGGGCAGAATCAATAACGATTTCTCCAGTCAACAGGCCCTTCTTTCAGAGTCTCCTCCGATTAGTGTCGGCTCGGAATCCTTCGAGCTAAGGGGTATTGGACCAATCGGTGAAGGTTTGATTGATGATGGAGTATATATATATATATATATATATATATATATATATATATATATATATATATATATATATATATATATATATATATATATGAGTTAGGATCCACTTCATTGTAAAACTTTTAGTTTTACACCTTTTACGCACCAAGAAATTAAGCTCCATATAGATCCATCCAAATTCATAAAAATATTTGTATTCACGGACACACCAAGAACAGTTTTCATTTGTAAACAAAGATAAGCTATATAGATTATACATATATATATATATGTAAGAAATGCCATGAAGTGAGGAACAATTAAAACCAACATTAAAAACATGAATTACCTGTGACTGTAGATGGTTCGTGTGATTCTGGAAAACATCACTCTTAACAAGAGGTAAAGAGCATAGAGAGCAGATACTAACTTCTATTTGCTTTGTATGCGTAACAAGAGTTCGACTTCGATGCTTCCAAAATGATCTTGACCATCAGGGACTAGCCAGGCCAACTCAAGACTTTTCAGTGCAAAAGATGGCTTAATATCGAGTACTTGACTTCTATAAGCATTTGAACCATCTTGTGGCAGCAGCAGCAACAATGAAAGAAATCAACACTTGACTAGTGTCAGGTCAATCTACGATGGGTGGACTCATGGTGTTTCGGAGGCTAAAACAAGAGGAACAAGAACCGGTCCACTGTCAGCGGCTTTTGATACGGCAATCTCTTCTATGCGCTTCCATGTGGATTCATGTTTCACTTTGGTCTCTTCCAGCTTTTCTTTATCTTCTTGAAACTTGTTCAAGCATTCTTCGAATAGTTCCGGATCAGAATCGGAAAAAATCTTGCGAACATTCAACGTCAAGCTCTGGACAACCTGATTCCAATGGTTATGCCCATTTTGCTCCAAGGCAGGGAAAATAATGGGCAGTATAACTCTGCGGTTTTGTCTAATTAAGTTCTCGATGTGATCATTATTCCACAAGTACAAAGCCCTCTCCGCTACCTGTAAAACCAAGCATTGGTGATCAGAAATTCTGGAAAACCATTGCATGAAACCGAATATTTTAAGAAGATATGTCACGACCAAAAGCTTCAAATATCATACCGATAACAAGAATTTTACACAAAACTATGCCAACCAAATTCCTGTGTAAGCAGGGAACAATAAGCTTTAACAATAAATTGCCGAACAAAGGCCTCATTAAGGAAAACAATACACATTCAAAAAGTTGTTTTTACATGGTCGTCTTTGCCATTGAACTATATTAGCATGGCATTGAGTATTGTTATTGTTCATTTTAGTACGTATAGAAGATCTCCATTATGTATTAAACACATGCATATAGCTTGGCCTTCGAAACCTCGTAATGCTAGTATGTAATCACACATGATACATATCCTTCCTGCCAAAGGAAAAGTAATTGTCCTTTGAATTAAAACCTGAGTGGTATGAAACCAGATATACACTTTCTAATAAACCTATGAAGCATTGAAACTAGACCTATATATATATATATATATGCTCGAACTCGATAAACCTCTGAATGTTAGTATGTAAAGGAAATTCAAAATGCTGAAAATAATGCCATCATACCTCTGCTTTTGTCCACAAAAGCAGATAGGACATTCAAATTTCAAATAGAACAGAAAAAACTGCTACCAAAAAAAAAAAACTTACTTCATCGTTCAAACTATAAAAGTTCGGAAGCAAAGGAATATATAGGTTCATAGATGTATCAACTATTGATGTAAGAGAAAAACATCAATCATTTTCCATCTTCAAGCCTATAAAAGATAATACGGTAGAGTTTGTCAGCATGTTCAGTAGCTAATTAAACCAGACAAATTTTAGACAATTATGCCAATAAGAAGTCGGCTACCATTTTTTTTTGGCTGAAATGAAGCAGGCTAGCGTGAAGTGCCTAATATTAGAACCTATATATTTCAATTCCATTGTCGGACCATGTAATTTAGACTTTCTCGCTTACAAGAAAAACTTCAGGCATAGGCACGACCAGAAAATTTGGCTTAGTCTATTCATAACTTCATCTATGCCAAACCAGCACGGGTTTGGTCCATGTTACTCAGGCTAGGGTGTGAGTATCGGACACGGATATGTTCAGATATGCATCAGATTCCCATACCTATGTTCAGATATGCATCAGATACAGGTTTGGACATGGTACTTCAAGAAAAATGAAGAGTTGGAGCAACATAAGATTAGGCTCTCGTGATCTCTAGCATATATAGACCAGTGTACAACAGATAGCAGCAAATAAAGATCTAATTTTCTAACATACAGCTTATCATCTTAATCATCTCATTTGGGAGCAACGGATAAAAACCATTGAAAAGGCCGACACAAATTACTATCAAAAGAAAGCAGAAACTCGTGTTTGAATGAGAGATGATCATGGAAGACCTTTGTTCCGAACATAAAATTAAAGAGCGAGAAGGAAAAACTATTCTTTCATTGACTTTATTCAGCAGGTTAGAAGTGGACAGATTAAACAATCAACAAGGGCATTTCACACAATAGGGAATGTAGAGAAATTTGTAAGGCTATTACCTGAAAGTGTGGACTGCTTAAGCATCGTGCAATTTTGCGGAACAAAGGTACCATACATCTCTGAAATTCAGCAGGCAGAGTAGCTTCCAAAATTTCTTCCAGCTCACTAAGGAACATGACTTCCTTGGAACTATTAGTAATTGGCCAGTACTTCAATAATCTTCTAATAACAGTATCAGCTAGTTTGCAGTCTTTCTCGACAAACTGCGTGATGCAGTATGATAACTGCTGGTGGTACATCGGCAAGCATTTTGGTTTGTGAAGTGGTATTAATGCCCGTGTAAGGAACAACTTGTGTTCTTCTTTGAGTGGCAAGGCAAACCCGTTGATTATACTTCCCAAAACCTCCAAAAGCTCGGTCATCCCATTATGCTTCTCCGTTTCAAAAATAAAACGGAAGAAAATGTTGTTAATAGCTTTCCTGATAAATGGACGGTGCACCATAAACTTGCCATAGATACGATGCAGAATTGTCTTTAGATACTCCCTCTCTCTTGGATCTTCAGAATCAAACAGATCTAGTAATTTAAGAACAAAAGAATGGTCAATGTATCTCTTGGCCAACTTCGCATCAGTCTCGGGAGATGCCACGAACCTCAGAAGGAATTCATATACAATTTGCAAGTGAGGCCATGCAGCGTCCACCAAAGGCTCTTCCTCTTCCAAATCGAAGGCTTCTAGCACCTTGTTTTCACGAGGCTGTGGTGTAAGGGGTCGAAACAAGTTGACAGACACCATCTTTACAGCTTCCTGAATGACAGATTCAGCAAATTTTCCATTCGCGGAACTAACATAATCCACAAGCTCAAGTAATGTCTGCCTCTTGATGTCTTTTTCTTTCAAGTTCTTCATTGGGTCCGAGAAATCAAACACAACACAACACAAACTCAGCTTTCTAAGAAACAAGGTTTGCTTCTCAGAGTTAGGAACATCCTTAAATCCCGGTAGAGCTTCATATGGAGCAGTCCCGGAACTCCTGTTAAGTTTTTGATCGACAACTTGGGCGAGCCGACTTCCATGGTTATATTCGAAAGTAGGAGCAGAATAAGGGCCAGAAAGAGGAGCATTGTCGATTAGCAGCCTATGATTACCCAAAATATCGCTGCTTCTTGAGTGGGAGGGATTACTCAAAGGAGGAGCAGATGAACCCCCAAATTCACGATTCTCGGACGACTTAGATGGCTTGCGAGGAAGCCTGCCTAGTATCTGCTTGATCATATCTTACAACAAAAGAAAGAACCAAATCCACAATAAACCAACCCTGATTCAATTTCCTTTACTGCATAACCTAATCCATCAAAAAGAAGGTAACTTCAAATCCAAAATCAGGGAAGAAAACCCTAAAAAATATCCCAGAAATAGAAACCTTTATCAGGATAAAAAATTGAAGAAACCCGAAAGCATGTATCAAAGCAAAAACTCTTGCTTTTATCAATCATCCTATACAGAAATTTGACAACTTCATTTACTCAGTACAACCATGAAACAGAAAGATAACAACTTTTGACTTAAATTCAGCAGAAACTAAAGGGAAAATCCTCTTAAAACTGGAAGCAAAACTACAAACTTCAAGAATTGAAAAGCTCCAGGTTTCTATGTAGGTTCCTGTTACCTATTTCCCAAATCAGCAGCCAAAGTAAGTTGGGTCAAATGATGACAGGATCTGGATTTTATGAAAAACAGCTAACCAGCATCAATCACAGAAAAAATGAAACAAATATACACACACACACGTACGAGCTATAAAAAAAAGTGATAAACTAAACAGAAGATTACACAACGATAGGTACAACAACATAGAAAAGTAAACCCAGAAGAGAGGAGAGCCCTTGAAACTTACAGAAAGCTAATAACTTGAAACAGAAGTCGAACACAAGAAAGTAGAAAGCTTTAGATTTTCCCCCTTTTTTAACTTTCTTTTTCTTTTCTTCTGAATTTACATTGGGCCATGGGAGAAAAAAGAGAAAGACGAGAGAAGGGGGGAAGAGGAACAAAGTGAAACACAAGCAGCAACTTTGATACAAGAACCTTACCGGCTTAATCACAACCCGTAAATGGAAAATCTGAGAACATTTAAAAATTATACAGATTTAGTAAAAAAAAGTTTGACAAAAGAAAGCAAGTCCATGTACCCTATCAAGTACTACTGATAATTTCGGTAATTAATAAAATAAAATAAAATAAACGAAGGTTTTGTGATGATAAACATTATGGCCATGATGTAATGTTGAATGTTTTGTTTTGGGTATATGCTTTTTTCCAATTCAGCTACCATGCCATTAATGGACAACTGTAACACACGGTTTAAAGCATTGGTCCCCAGCCAATTTATAACTATTTTCTTTGTTTTTTTCTTGATTAACAAAATCTGTAGCTTAAGAGGAAAAATGGGTTACTTTCGGTTCTTGAAAATTTTCATGGAAACAAAAAAATTAAATTATTTTGATGCGTTTCTACACTTGTACCGCTTAGGATTAAACCAAGCCGAACCTAAATGGGCCAGATAAATTCTTACAAAATACACAGCATGACGTTTTAGGGAATCATTCGACTTCATTTTTTAAGCTTTCTAATTAAACGGTGTATGTATAAAATACTAATTATATTCTTTTTAAGGGTCGGAGGAAAAATCCAAAGCCTCCAACCAAAGAGATGACAATGATTAGGGTTTTGTTTTAATTTTTAGAAGTAAGTCAATAAAAATACAAGTACTTATCCTAGGAAAAAAAACAAAATGTGACTATTTGGTAGATCTATAATACCGGCCAACTTGTAAAAGGGTGTCATGCTGTCATGGACAATAGATATGAAATCTAGTTAGTTCAATTCAAGAGTTCAAAATGTGGCCATTTGTTAAAAAGAGTAAATTATACAAATAGTTTTTTAATTATAGTATTTTTTTTGTTTGTTTCATCTTTGATTATGAAAAAAGTATAGTGATTACTCGAGTTAATAAAAATTATAAATTGATCTTTTTTTTCATTGAAAGAAATAATTGTGAATGATATGATAATTAATAAAATTATCATGATAATAAATTTAACCTTAAGCTTTAACACTTTATTTTAATTTAGTCATAATTCTAAAAAAATTAACCCTCGACATTTTTTATTAATCAAGTCTTATTAATTTATTGGGTAAATTACAAATTTGGTAACTAAACTTTCATTTGATTCCTATTTTACTCAAAGTACTTTCAAAATTTTTAATTTGCTCACTCAACTTTATGGATTGAACGTTTTTGTCACTCCACTCTTATATCACTAACATCTCGTTGACGTGGAATATTTTAATATTAAACATGCCACATCGGATTTCCAAATAATAATAATAAGGGTAAATTACAAATTTGATAATTGAACTTTCATATGATTCCTATTTTACTCATCGTACTTTTAAAAACTTCAATTTTGCTCACTCTTCCGTTAAACTTCTCATCATCAACGACCGTCCACTGCTATCGGTGTGTGCGTCATGCCACCAAGATCAAAACCCTGGTGGTTGATCGTCAAGGATCCCCATCATTTTTCGTACAGAAACCTTAGAAGGTTCATCAGTAAACCAAAGCTTCCCATCGATTTTCATTGATTTTCGGATACCCCAGTCGTCTGTTCGTCACCGCCGCCACCTCTGAAGTTCTCTTCTCTTTCCGACCAAAATCCAGTCGATTTACCCTTTCACTGTCACTGCCTCTGTCGACCTTCTATTTGTCTAACCCCGGCATAGTGACAAAAAAAACTCAATCTATAAAGTTGAGTGAGCAAATTAAAAATTTTGAAAGTATAATGAGTAAAATAGAAATTATATGAAAGTTCAATTATCAAATTTGTAATTTACCTTATTTTTATAGGATATAAAACAACATCATTTCTGTAGAGATTGCCATGTAATAACATCGTTAGCTATTTAAAGATTGAGTTACCAAAACATGAGCAATTTAAAAGTTGAGTGAGAAAATTAAAAATTTTTGAAAGTACGGTGGGTAAAATAGAAATCGCATAAAAGTTTAGTTATCAAATTTGTAATTTACCCCAATTTATTTTCATCCTCTTTAATCATCATTTACCACTCAACTTTGATACTAATAAATTCTTTTTTAATTTGTTTCATTATTTTTCTCAAAAAAAATCTTACGAACTAACCCTCAACACTAGAAACTTAAACTTTTTATCTTCTCATCTCTGCTTGTAATTACAAATCCCAAATTTCTCCAATTTGTTATACATCTACTCCTTAATGAAAATGATTAGTTTTGAGGAAATGATGAGTGTAACACCTCTTTCAAGTTCAAAAGTCAGATCAAACCCAAAATATCACATACATAAATCAAAATTATTTTAGGCTTATAACACCTCAGACTCATCAAAACATTACATGTGCTCAATTAATCATAACACACACTATTTATGCAAATTTATTATGTTCATCATGCAACATTTAGCTAGAAACATTCAAATCGTAAAGGAATTTATTAATATATTTTAATAACATATATAAGTTGTTTATGGCATGCTTCTTATGTAACACCCCAAATTTCGGGCTAATAGTTTCAGGTTTATCCAAGAGGTAAGTGGGCCTAATTAAATTCATATGTAAAGTCGTTGGGTTTAATTGGGTTGGATTTGGGCCCAATTAGCCTCAAAAAGGGATTTTTGAATATGAGACAAAATACAAAGGATTAAAAGTGTAATTAGACCATTGAGAAAAATGGAAGTTGATTTTGGGGTATTTATTTTAGATGTGGAGGTTTCTATTCCCCATCTCTTCTTCTTTATCTCTTTTCTTCATCTCTTTCTTCATTCATCTTCAACAATGCCCCGATTCTCAAGTTAGTAGTTTTGAGTAAACCCGAATGGGTTTTAAATGGTCTAAGGGAACCATTTATGAGTTTTGGGCTAAGGTATAATTGTTTTGATTTGGGCTTGAGCCCAATAATACTTAAAAAAGGGTATTTTTAAGTTGTGCATCAAATGTATTAAAGACTGAAAACCTTTAATTGCCATGAGATCATACAGACAGAGTTCTCTTTTTCTTCACCATGCTCTTTTCTTATTCTTCCTCGCCCTGAATCTCGGGTTAGAAGTATTGAACTAACCCGAGATGGGCCTTGGTTTAATTCCTTAGCTTGTAGGAAGCCTTGACCTAAATTAAAGAGAATTTGGGCTTCAGGCAAGCCCAATAGAGATTAAAAATGGTGTTTTTAGTTTGCAACCAAAATCAAGATGACCAAAATAGCAATTTCACCAATGAGGATTTCAAAAGCTGAAAACCATTTATAAATAGTGATCTCACGTCTGATTTCTTTGCTTCCATCTTTTCTTCATCTTTGTATTTTCTCCCAAACTCCCTATCTCTTCTTCATCTTCTTCCTCAACTCTCTAAGTAAATGTGAGAGCTTTAGTTCCCTTCAGGCATTTTCCAGCAACATCAATTTAAGAAACGAATTCAGCACTCACTGATCTTCCTTTTAAGCTCTTAAACCACTCATTTCACCATAGTTCTCAAAAATGGGTTTTAAAAGGGTTTAAGAAATTAGATGGTTCCAATCCATTTTTTATATATTTATAATCTTGTGAAGTATTTTAAAACCCTCCTTAATTAGATGGTTCTAATCCATTTTTTAGATATTTCTAGCCTTATGAAGTGTTTTAAAACCCTTCTTAACCCCTAACAATAGTTAGTAATCCTTACAATTGGTTTTGTTTAGTGCAAGAGATTAGAGAAAGCTGCAAAGTTAGGGGAGGAAAAATCTTACTTTGGATTGAGTCTTTGATGTTTCCAACAACTTAGCATCAAAGGTAACTCACTTTTGACTTAGCTATACCATATGTAAGTCATTTAGATGAAATGAAATAAGTTGTATGAGCTTGAAGCACTCCCATGGTAGATTTCATATTTTGGAGTTATAAATATGTTTAAAGCCCTATTTATGTTCCTTTGTATCTTCATAAAACATTAATAATGTTTATGAACCTCACTAAGGTTTTTGGTATTGAAGAATATGAGTTTTTGCACTTATTTTATGCTCTCTGCAGGTTGAGTTTCGATACTAGAGGGATAGTATCAAAACTTGTTCTTCTTCTTGGGCAAACTCATGAGTTTTTGGTCAAGAGTATCGATACTTTGGGTCATAGTTTCGAAACTCCCAGAAATTATCAAAACTAAGCGGTCCATAATGTTTAAAAATATTGATACTTGTAGAAAGTATTGAAACTTTTCCAATAATATCAATACTCTTGGGCTAGTATCGATACTTTCAGTCTATTTTGGACAAAAAGGCCATTTTTTAAAGGGGGACTCAAGGTACCCCCCAACACTTCAATATATCCTCAAATAAGACTTCAAGTGAGAAAAATAATTAATATTATAACATTAGAAATATAATATAGCTAGGTTTACTTGATCCAAGTCAGTGCCACAGCACTGCAACAACCAACTGGACGCTAGATGCCCCAATACTCGACGGAGGAAGTCGATGGGTGCATGTTTTCGATGTAGAATTCTAGATCTCACCCAGGAGTTCTCGATGGTGCTTCGACAATACTAGAGGGGTACGTGAGCTCCAATATGTAGAATCTCTCAGTCGCACCATGATGTCAACCATAAATTAGTAGTACAATATATAACATGTTCAGTTATGTGCCACTTGTCACTTCATCTAGTGAATGCATATAGTATAGTACAATTTCCACTGAGGCACTAAACTCGTAAGCTCAGCGTTCGAAATGTGTTTCCGTATGCAGGTTCTTAGCGATAAATTGTGGGGAGCTATCGTCATTAGATATTCCAATGCACCAGAGAAGATTTTTAAAGACCTTTCAGAGTACGTCTTGAGTCATCTTTAGAGGGCATATACTGTTATAGACCTTGTTATATTCATTCGTAACTCTTGTTAAAACTCAATATTTGTATTATTTTGTGGATGCAGTTTGGGAGCTCCCCATAAATTGTAAACTCATATTTTATTTTGTTTTTATATTATATCATGGATGATTAAATATCAGAAATTTACGAGAAGTTTAAAAAAAATTGGATTACTATTTCGGTAGTCTCGCGTAACATT